GCTTTCAGACTGTGATCTTGAGCATGTGAACTGCTAGAGTAAGATACTATTTAAAGCTTATTAAGCTTAGAAGAAAATCTTTGACAGTTGTTAAGTCAGTTATATAAGTTATATTCACTTTTTAAAGTGAAGTTCATATCTTTAAGATATTAAGATTTAAGTGAGAAAACAATTTCATCATTCTACAGTATCTGAGTTCATATATTAATTATCTTTAAAAGATAGTTTCAGGTTAGAAAGAAGCTGAGCTTTCATAGTTATTATAGACTCAGAAATCTTTAAGTTATAGTTATTGAGAACTTTATCAGTTATATGAGTAAGATTGAGTTTTGACTCTTCAACTGCTTTGTAATGTTCAATCAGATATATAACAGCAAATTTAATCATTAATACAGTTTACAGCTTATTAAGCTTAAAAGAAAATCTTTGATAATCACACAGCAGAATTGAAAGAATAATATCTTATTAATCATTTAAAATAAAGAAAAAAAGAAAAAGAAAAAGAAAGAAGATATTAAGAGAAAAAAAAAATAAAAATAAAAATAAAAATAAAAGTAAAAGTAAAAGCAAAAACAGCAATAGTAACAGAATATAAAACTACTTCTTAATAATTCTCTTATCAATCTTATAATTAACAGAATCTGCTGAGTATAAAGAAAAACTCATTGATAACTTCTCATTGAAAAAACAGCTTGTATTATACAAGTTAACATTGTAATCTACACTAATAATAATCTGAAGATCTTCTTCAATAAATGATTTCAGTATATAATCATGATAGAATCTGATCAATTAGTTATTTATCATCAGTATACTTCACAACTTCTTCATAATATGATAATAATCATTATTATCTTCTTACTTATAATACATCATCTTTTATAATCTTCTAATATAATATTTCACAATGATATAAGACTCTCTGAGAATCTATAACAATATCTATTAATATCTAAGCTTTCTCTAGAAATATAGTGAATATACAGCATAGTATATTAAATTATGAAAATGATAATTATTGTATATCTTTCTAATATCAGAAATAATACATTTATACAATGACTTAAATTCAGTCATACAGAGACAGCATGCACAGATCTTCTCAGACTTTGTTATATAGTAAGTATTATAATGAGCTTTGAGAATAGCAAACTCAAGCTTGTAAATAGATATTATTATTTAACTAAACTGTTTAATTAGAGATTGATTTATATATTATCTATGATTAAGATTTAACTTACTTTCATTGTATTGAAGAACAGATAGATGAATGAAACAGCAGAGACAGCAGTAGAAGCAGTAGCAGATAATATAACAGAGAGATTTTCACATTGATAAGTAAGTAGATTATTGCTGATTAAAAGAAAGATAAAGAAAATAAAGTAAGAAGCTTATATTTATACTTATAATATAAGTAAATAATACATGAGTAAGTTAATAATGTTTAGATAAGTATATTTCTATTCACTTCTATAACTCTATAATTCATGATTGATTTAGAAGTTAGTAGAAGTTATTAGAAATTACAAGAAGTTTACAGAAGATTTATTATAGAAGATATCTAACTACTTAATAGTGTTATTTTCTATAGAGAAGTTGTCTCTTTCTCTGTAAGAAGAAGTTCAAACACAGTTAAAATAAAATATCTTTATAAATATAATATCTATGTTTATATTTCATTCATTAAATAATGTTCATTTATAGAAGATTTAAATATCAATACTATTATTATTACTTTACTGCTTGAATGAAGTATGTGAAGTATGAACTTAAGCAGTTATAGATATATGAACTCATGAACTTAAAGAAGAATGAACTCAGAGACTTGAAGAAGAAGTGAACTGTGAAGTAGTAAAAGCACTGATAATAGATATAACTAGAGTAGTAGAGACTTCAGCAGTAGTAACAGCAGCTGAAAGAGTTATAGAGATCTTAGTAAAGATCTTATTAAGTTACTATACTCTTTTTACTGTATATTAAGCAGTCATCTGAGCCAGATTATTGTCTTTCATATATTATACAGCTGTGAGCTGCTGAGCTGCTGTTATTTCACTGATTAAATCACTACTTAATATTTCAGTAGATACTGCTATCTCTGCTACTCTCTCTCTGTTTCTAATTATCTGATATTGATGTCTTTCTATGAGAATAGCTTCATATACTTTATTTATAACTGTAATTTAACTCAACAGAAAGCTGTGAAGCTGATCTTTAAATTTATCTTGATAGCTTCAAGTCTGAAGAAGATTAACAGTATTATATAATTCATTTTAATTGAATTCAAAGATAGATATCTTCTGATGAAAAAGAGCAGCTATCTATCACTAACATTAAGTAGATATAAATCATGAAACTGACATTAAAAAGTCTTAATTATGATGATACTGTTTCTCTATATATTTAATACATCAGTTCTTAAGTTCTGACAGTAGAATGACATCACAACTATTACTTTGAAATACCTTGATAATATTTATAGTGAGTGACTGTTTAAATACAGATATATAGCTTGAATTACATCTACTGCAGTATTTCTTCACAGAAGTGTTTATTCTATTCATATTAAATAAGAGTTAATTCTCTTCAAGATAAATCAGAAGAGCTTTTCAGTGATATAGATTATTAATAATTCTCTTTCAGTTGATAAAGAGATTAACTTATCTTTGTATTTTATTCTCTATTTATATCTTCATAGTGATTATTCTACATTGACTTTGACTCTGACTTATTATATTTAATGCAATACTTTCAGCATCAGATATATTCTTTAAGTTTATAAACTGTGATAATTAACTGATCTGATATCAAGTTCTTTACTGAGATCTTTATTTCACTGATAGTTAAGAAGATTAAATAGCTTTCTTTTCATAATCTTCAGAGTCAAATACTCAGTAGAGAAGAAGAATTAAGATATGACTTTTTCAATCTGATCTACAACTCTCTCACTTATATTATTATTAAATATTCATAATATCATCTCTCTTAATAGAAAATTCTTATATAATAGTATACTTAACATCTGAAATATTTATACTCATACTCAGTGAGATTATTATCATTATAATTCATATTTTTAATATTGATTTTATAAACTTCTCAAAGTGAATATTCTGATTTACTTTAAATACTTGAGATATGAAATACTGAATAATATCATTGATAAAAGAGATATCAGTATTATTAATATTCTATCTATTATTCTGACAGATCTGAAGAAGTATTGATTAGAAATATTACACTGCTTATTAAATCTTAATATAACTATTAATAAAGATAATAATCTTTAAAATGTATTAAGATATGATCTTTTCATCTGTATTAATAATCTTATTCAATAAAAAATATAATATATCATAAAATACAAGTTTACTGTATAAAATCAGATATTTACTGATAAAGATATTAGAATAATTAATAAAAGTTTAAATAATCTAAGTCTGCTGTAAGTTTATATTAATAGAATGAAATTCAGTCTTTTAAAGAATAATATTCTCAGCTTTACTACTGAGAGTTGTAGAACAGTTAAATCAGATAATATTCTTATAAAGAAGTAATCTCAGATATCTTAGTCTGATAAACTAATTATAGAATTAACTTCACTGTGTGATAAGATAACACTTATTAATAGCTATAAGCTCAATCTTTTCTTATAAAGTAGAGTCTTAAAGAATATACTGAAATCACTTATAAAGAGCTTACTCTGAACTGAGTAGTATATATATATACTTATTCTATTAAATGTATTTGAGTAAGTCTTCTTATCTCTGAAGATTATCAGTACTGATTAGATAAGAATTAACACTGAGAAACTATACTATATCTCTTATTTACTAATTATCAAGCTTATTTAGAGAAATCAGTTGAATAATTATCTTTTCTGTCAGAATTGTATAGAATTAAAGAATAAGACTCTTTTTATAGTCAGTTCTGATAATAAATAAAGTATTACTATATTTATATATTATATACTGAAGTATACAGATTTATTCTATATATAACTGAAGAGTATACTCAGAATCTGAATACAGATCTTGAAGTATTTATTAAAGATATTACTGAATAATATTCTGTTACTTATCAATACTATCTAATTCAGTATAGCTTATAATAAGTTATAGTATATCTTCAATATTTATTGAAAGTATTTACTTTAATAATGACTTTTAAAGCTGCTGTTATAGCTGATTTATATATTTTCTTCAATCTCTCTTAATTATATTTAATACAGTTAATAAGATATTATCTGACTCAGTTATTAAAAAGAAGTGTTATATAATTAATTCAGAAGTTATCAGAAGATCTCAGAAGTTATCAGAAGTTATTATAAATTAATATACTATATAAGATTATCAAGAGATCAGAAGTTATCAGAAGTTATTAAAAATTACTGAAAAATATACTCAGTGTTTTAACTATAGTCTCTGATAACTGAATAGATGTTTTAATAGCAAGATCAAGATATTAAATAACTAGATATAATCATGATTGAAAAATTAGTAAATTATTTCTATGTTTAAAATCATAGTAGCAGTTTTCAATATAATACTTTATACTCAGAATATATATATTTTCAGATAAAAATTATATCAATTAATAGAAAATTGAAAAATTAATTCTTCAAGATAATAGAGAAATAATTTATAAGTAATATTATACAGTAATTCTATCTTAAATATTATAATTAAAGTAAATTATTCTCATATTACTAATAAATAGAAACTATTTTTTCTCAGATACTCTGTGAAGAGTTTACTGAGAATATCTTATTTAGATTTAATATAAGCTCTGTGACAGTTGATTGACTCAGATGTTAGCAGGACTTGGCAGAAAGTAGCAGTAGTTCAGATTGAGTTAGCTCGGAGTGGAGTGGCTGAGTTTACTGAGATAAGTTATTAGGTATGATTTGGCTTTTAAAATCCACGTGATTTTGTATTGTTAATAACAGATAAATTACGCCGATACATTTTTTGTAATTTTCTTTTTTCTGCATGGTCGTTAGTGTTTAAAACAGCTTATCACATCCCCGCTCCCACACGCCCATTCCACCTTCTTCTCTACCTCGTACATATAAGCTTTACAATTTTTCCACCCGCCGACGTCCCCCGCGTTCTTTCCAACGAAAAATGAGGACGCTCCCTAACATTATCATCACCGGCACGCCTGGCGTCGGCAAAACGGTCCATTGCGAGCAGTTGGCGCAAGACACGGGCCTGCGACACCTGTCCATTAACCAAGTTGTGAAAGAGCACGGGTGCCATGAGGGATATGATGATGAGCTGCAGTGCTATATCGTGGATGATGATAAGGTATATATATATAAATGACTTTTATTTCTCTTTTTTTATCATTCCCATTGTCCATTGTCCATGCGGGATATGGTATGGTATGGGGCTAATACGTGACGCGGTGACGGTGTTGTAGCTCCTCGATGTGATAGAAAAGGATGTGCCGAAGGGCGGGTATCTTATCGATTGGCATGCCTGCGACCTCTTTCCCAAGTCCTGGGTTGACCTGGTGGTGGTGATCCGGTGCACTTCTACTGCTATACTCTATGACCGGTTGGCGGCTAGGTTAGCTTATTTTTTCTTATTTTTGTGTTTTTTTACCCCTCTCGGTTTCCCCACAAGGATATGGAAAAATGTTAGGAAGGTATAGAAAGGCTAATCAGCGATTTAAATTTATCTATTTATGGTTATTCACAGAGGCTACTCGGAGCGCAAACTGCAGGAAAACCTTGACGTGGAAATATTCGATGTCCTCCTCCAAGAAGCGCAGGAGTCATACGATGAGGAAATCGTCGTTGAGTTGACGAGCGAGAATGACGGGGATATTGAAAAGAATTGCGAACGCATCGAGGCTTGGATAGAATCTTGGAAAGCGACCCATACGGAGAGTTCGGGTTGAATGGGATCCCTCCTTTAGCCTCCTCGCGGCCCACGCGGCTCTACGGCCCCTTTTTCCCGGCGATAATATTTTGAGGACGATCGGGGAAATATCAAGGATATGTCTCCACGAGCCATTGTTTCAATTTCGCAAGCGCTTTGTATCGATGCGAGATCAGGTTCTAGATCGTCGCGCAGAAAAAAAACTCAGCGTCAAAGCCCACATATGCGCCTCCTCTACCACTCAACTATTAAATATCGACGTTGGGGGAGATTTGCTTTTTTTAACGCACCTTTTCGTCCTTGTCCATCTCTGCAAACGTCTTCCCCTCATACTCGAATATGGGATCCCAACCTGCGCAGTTCAATCATTATCAGCCCTGTCAATTCATGTTTCAAGTGGTAGAAATAATTGGAGGGTGGGACCCCGTTTTGGGCAGGTGGGAACTATACCGAAATTCGCGGGGCCCCTAGCTGGAACAATTCGACCCTATTATATGGAGAAACCACATGTTAGAATGAGAGACCGCGATCTACACCGGGCCTTAACCCGCTGTTTCTTGTGCGGTGGGGGGATTGAGAGGCAGAAGAGTAATGCAGTTACCTCAGTCTTCCCTTGAAAGAGTATCGGCTCCGCACCTGGCCCACTGCAGAACGCAAACGTGCACACTGCCACGATGGATTTGTCTGCGTATGGATCCAGCAACTTGTTAAGGCCTTCGTGGCCTAGGGCTTCGAGAAACCATTTGCTATATAATTTCGTTGTTAGTATTCAGAATTTTTCAAATGCCCCACGCGTCCAGCGTAAAATGCTTGTTTGATAGAGTGGATATATATATATATATACATATGCTTTTATAGGGGGAACACAAATTATCAAAGGCACCCCTTGTTTCATACCCGAGTAAGTAGGGAAGAAGTTGAAAAACAAAAAGCAAACACTTAGAGCGAGGAACTTACATATATGGTCCTGGCAACCCCTTTAATGCATTAAACTCTAGAGCTGTGTCTTCTGTCAACGCAGGCCCTTGTATCTGTATATTTGTATTCAGAGACACGAAAAATTTAGCTTGATGGCCCTTTCAATCAATTGCAACCAGCCACCACCCAATGATACTACTGGGTTATGGGTAAAAAATACTCCGTACAATCGATATCTAATATCGACTGGCCTGTATATATAAAAAAATAGAAGAAAAAAAAATATAGCAAGCGAGGAGAAGATTCTATCTGGCACATACCACCTCCGCCGCCCTGCGGCATTTCTCTTTCGCAATCTCTTCAATCGAGCCTTGGATCTCGGGCACGTCAATAGCCCGGTTCTGCACTTCTATGGCATCACCTAATATAGCCTGGACTTCGGCTAGTTTGTTTTTGTTGCCTGTGATGAAGTTTATGGTCTTCATGGTTGAGGGGGGGGGAGGTGGGGGAGATGATGGGATGACGGGCAGTGAGTGGGTGGTGATCGGATTGGATTGTGGCACTTGTCTTAGGTGATGGAGGCTTGGGCGCTGTTTTCCCCCTTATCCCGTTCTGTCTTTCTGTCTTTCTGTCTTTCTTTCCTTTTTTCAGTGAAATATACACTGGATGGATGCGAAATGGAGATATCTACTGTGCTTGTGAGGGGAATTCTTTAGGAGAGCCGTCGCGGTTACAAAATCTTATCAGATCGCCAAGATTTCGATCCAAAATTCTCATACATACTTCATTTGCTCACTACAACCGCCCCATAATTAGTTAGAACATCAATGGCAACGTACAGTTGAAGCAGGAGGAGTGATTTAAGTATTATTAAACCAGAATCCAACAACAAATATCTAGACTATCTAATATCCACCCCAGCCGGCATAATGGGATTTAGAAATGTAGTTAAATGCTATCACGCAAGATCAAAAATGAGGCGCAGAGCTGTCACTCATATATAGAACTATAGAAGAGAAACCGGAAATTTAGTGCATTACATTATCGGCTTCCTTTTCGCATCTTCGAGATTCCTTGTGCTCCGTTAGTGGCAAAAAAACCGGTCAAGAGGAATAGGGTAGGTATAAAGTAGTCTTACATCACGTCAAAGATTCTTTAGAAAGGAGGTGAAACAACGCTGACAAAATTATAGAATGGGGTTAGTTGGGAGTATATCTTCTATCGTCTAGGGTGTTGGGATCTTGTAGTTCGTTGTTGATTAATGTGTAAGAGTGCCAAGGAGGACCCAATAGCGATGATGGAACGGGGAGGATGCGAATAAGAAGAACAGGGAATAAGTAGAGGGGAGGAGGAGGAAGGAAAGGGAGATGCGGGGTTTTCGATTGGATTTGCGAGGAAATGAAAATGACAATGGATATAGACAAGTTCTTTGGAGCAAAATAAAAACAAGCCTTATAGAAATTAAAAGGAGACGTCGACAAAACGATAAACTGCACCCAGCTTGCCAACAAGGCGTGGTGTGGCGGTAAACAGGAACGCAGAAAAAAATAATAAAGATTCAATACGCAATGGACAGAGTGGTCTTTCAGAATCCTTTCATCTCAACCAGAGTCTATAAGGTAGGCGGCGGCGCAGATGCCAAATTTGGAAGAGAGTAGATGGGAACAACTAAATGGAAATAGTAGAGGAGGGCTCCCAAAGACTAGCTAGGGATAAAATACCCGCAAGGGGCGAGTAACTGAGTACATGGGACAATGGGGGATGCAAACGGATATTATTTTGATTTTATGGGGAGGTGCTGACGGCGTCGGGGCCATCTACCATGTCAAGCTTCTCCAGTTGTGCCATAGCTTGCATGGAGACAATCTCCGCAAGGCGCTTGAGACGAGGTGTTTGGAGCCCTGTTGATTGCTGTTAGTATAGTTCAAATGGCGTCCATGTCGACCTTTGACCCTGGAGGGTGTATATGTTTCCAGCTTACATGATGGAGTATATGTTTCCAAGGCAGTAATTGAGCGTGGCTCAGCGATTTCGTAAGGGCCGCTATCTTCCATGTCAACAGCGGTAAGGAGGAGGACGTCACTCTTTTCCGTTACGCGAGAAGCAACCGCTTTCATGATTTCGCCGTTAATGGGCTGTTCGTAATCGGCGACCAGATACTGGTTCAGAAGCTTTTGTATTTGATTGGGCGAGAGCCTGTGAGGGAGAAGGTGATTAGTACCTTTCCTTATGGTGTGAGTGGTAAAGTGGGGGCGTCGATTCACTTACATCCAGCAAATATCTTGAATGATCTCGATATCGTTAAGAGTCGCCTTCTTGAGTTGAAGTAATTTCGTAGCTTGCTAAAAACGGGAGTATTCATTAGTCGACAATCCACATTCGACGCCGGAAAGAGAGAACTATGATGAACTTACCATGAGGTGCTCGAGCTGCAGTGTCCCTTCCGGCATATCATGGCTCTTGCACCACTCTTCAATCCGAGTTATATTGTAATTGATTTGTAGACCACGCTTCCAGGAGAGGAAATTTCTTCTCATCAGGAGATCGTTGAATGCAGTAACACCGACAAGGCGGAGTAGCTCATTGACTGTTTGCAAGATGATCGAGTCTTCGAGATAGTATGCCTTCATCGCCTTGTACACATTGTTAAGAAGACTCAAAAGGTTGTCCATACTGTAAGCAGGGGTGTTGGATGGCAGGAGTTTTCCGAGGAAGCGGCTTGTTTCGTTAGTAACGAATCCCGGAAGTGACTGCGACTCGATGATTGCGGGGACAACCATCTTGTAAAGCTTCTGTTTCAAAACTTTCATCCAAGTGTGGTAGATATTGAATTCCAAACTCTCTAGATCATGTTTCACAATTTCCAAAAGACGGTCGTACTCATAATTATCAGTTTTCTGGGCCTCATACCAATCCTCGGCGAGGAAAACGAAGGATAGCATCTCGTGCACGTTGGAAAGCCAGAACGCGCCAGGGTTAATTGCATCTTCACCTTCATGCTGCATGACGTCTTGCTGAATAGATTGCATTACATTAGCAAGGAAGCGTTCAGATTCCTTGACAAAGCCATTATTCCACATCTCGGACGTAACAAGATTAATAAGGTATGATGGGAAGAGAACCTCCTTCTCGGTTGGTGGTGGAGTAGAGCCGGGAAGAGGTATTTTAAGGTTTCGGATAAGACCAATCGTAACTTCGTCGTTGAGCTCATCTTCTTCAGATAACAGCGTTTCCAGTTCCATTTCAATAGAATCCACTCCCGGAGCAAACGTCGAACCAGATAGATTAGAGCGGCGGCCTGCGCTAGGCACAGCCATCGATACCGGCCGCGGGTTATAGACACCGCTGAATCGATCAGCTTCTATCCTCTCCGTGCCAGCACTCCGTCTCTTCGGTTTGGGCTTCTTGGATGAAACCAGGTTAATTAACCCAGTAATACCAGGTTGAGCAGCGGCTCCGTTCTGAAGGTCTCCATTAAGTCCATTGACAGGGACAGACCTCTTCGCAAGCTCTAACTCATCCTGGAGCTCAGATATTAGCTGGCGGAGAGATTCCTTCTCGACCTCGTTGTCAGAATTGGCTTGTCTCAGCTTCTCAAGCTCTGCAGTTGCGACTTTAAGAGATTCGCGCGACACCTTCTCTTCTTCCTGTAGTCGTTTGACGGTTGCTAGTGCCTCAGCATGATTTTGTTGCAACTTGGTCATATCTTCTTCCAAGGCAGCCAGCTGTGCCGCAGAAATACCAGCTTGGTTGGCCTCGGCTTGTAACTCTCGGGTGCGAGCTTCCAGTGCGTTGTGTCGACTTCTCCAGGACTTCAACTGGCTTTCATAGTTCTCAAGTTGTGTTGTAAGAGTCTTGTTCTCTCGCTTGAGTGTCCCAAGGGATTGAGTGAGTTCCACGACCTTGTTTTCCAGTTTATACGATATCTGTTTAAGATCTCTTGCTTCTTCACGAAGCTTCTTGTACTGAAGGCGTGCCTTTCGTCCTCTGTAAAGGTTCTGAATAATGATGACCTTCTTACGGTATTGTCTCCAAGCACGGAGCGAACGCCAGGACCGGAATGCACGCTGGATAGTCTTGGCAGCATTGCCAAGGATGGTATCCATGATATTGCGCCGGCAGAGATAACCCTTCGCAACGGATTCGAAGAGAATGATATTGCTCCGAATACTGACGTAATGCTTTCGCTCCTTTTGGCCACGCCAAACTCTTTGTATTGTGGTGGCAGCTTTAATACGACGAATCTCCTCTGCGTGCTGTCTAGCCAGGAAACCTCTGATCACGCTTTGCGTGGTAAGGATAGACTCGCGAGCCTCGAGGTACCTGCGGCGATAGTACTTGCATTTCAAGTTCTTCTGGATCATGGTTGCGCATTCGTTTAAGCGTGACGTGCGGAGGTTCTCAAGGAAAGCAAGCATACCTGCTCGGAAGAAGATCTTTGTCAGACCGAGCTGATATTTATCTTGCTGATGACTGGCATCACCAAGGGCTTTTCGTAGAATGGCGTGGCCCATATCGCGTATCTCAGATGTCCATTGGGATGAATGGCAGAGCATGTAGTACCGGAGAGCAAATTCTTCGTATGTCCAGCGGGTAGGGTAGCCAGCGCAACTTATCCGAACAGTTTCCAGGACACCACACGCTCTCAACTGGCTGAGAACCATAGGGCCTTCAAACTTCCACGCTTCCTTGCCCTCATTGGGTTTTATACATCGAATATAATGAACATCAGTCGAGTTGATAGTGTTCATAAGCTCAATCAAAGAGGACTTGAAGATGCCTCCAAGCGTGGGTTTGCGGTTGACAGCAACGCCAATCTTCCGCCCTGGTGCTGCAACTGGGCGCGAGGACACGGCCGCTGAGTCCTTTTCACGAACGGCAGAGGCCGCTTCGAGAACGGATTTCACAAATCCATTGGAGGACTTGCGGAGGATTTCCATATGCTCATCCGGAACAGTGTCCCTGTTTTTCTCAATGAATCCATCAGACTCATACGTGACATCGACGGCGTAATGGCATACAGTGAACGAGGACTTTCCGAATCGAGGTTTCTTGTAGAACTTTTGTTTGTTGGACCCAAAGTGATGATGCAGCTTTGTAACGAATTGCTCATCAGAGCCCATTGGTAATCGAGACTCTTCATCCAACAGCGATAGGACTCCGAGCTTTCCTTCAATAAGATCAATGCAAGGTTGATTGTCCGAGAAATCGATAAACTTCCAATCAATTTCTTCCCTGACATACTCCTCCTGTTCAAGCTTGAACACATGCTGGTTAAACTCTTGCTGCAACTTCTCGTTGGCATAATTGATACAAAACTGTTCGAAAGAGTTTTTGGCGAAATGTTCGAAACCGTAAATATCCAAAACTCCAATGAAGGAGCTCACCTTATTTAATACATCTTCCGTAGCTAGCCCGCGGTTAATGGTCTCCACTAACCAATCAAACAAGCTTGAGTAAATGAATTTCGCAACTGAATCTCGGACAACTAGGGCCTGTTGCTGGGTAAGATTCGATGTGATTTTCTCGCCGCGGGTGATTAGCTGCTTTTTCACAATCCACTTCGAGAATTCACCTGCTTCTATACCCAGCATCTCGCATGCGCGCACAAGAGACGGTTCCGTGGCAGAGAGAGAAGAATCAGTTCGAGTAGCCTGGATCTTAACATTGCCTAGGTGAAGAAGAGCAGCCAGGATGCGGAAAATATCAGCCTGGGTCTCCCTCGTCACTCCTATCGTCGTAAGAGATTTCCTTGTGGCATCAAATTCGGCCTTATCGTCGACGCCATCAATCACCGGAGCACCTCCCTGGTTCAGATATTCGAATTCTTCAATGGACAAGAGGCCCAACTCTTGCCGCTCCGAGTCTGTAGCTCCGACGACGAGCTGGTAGAAAATATGGTAATTCCTTTCTTTCAGAGGTTGGAAGACAAGCCTCGAACGTTCCAGGAGGTATGTTCTTATTTTCGCGCCAATAATATTCGTCTTGTCGTCGAACATAATCTCAATATATTTTCCGAATCGGGAAGAATTATCGTTACGGGTAGTCTTCGCATTTCCGAATGCCTCCATCACCGGATTTGTTGCCAAAATTTGTTCCTCTGTCTCGCTGATTGAATCTGCTCTTCCTGCATTATATGATCCCTGGGTGGGAGTTCCTCTCGTGGCGAAGTATCTCATGATATATTTCGCGCTCACAGTTTTTCCTGCTCCTGATTCTCCAGAGACAACGATGGTCTGGTTTCGGCCATCTCTCAACATATCACTAATTCCAAGGTCAGAGACATGGGCACTGTATTGGCACTAACAGATATGTGGGCATTTACTCACGAGAATGCTTCCTCAGCGATAGCAAAAAGATGAGGAGCTTGTGTAGCCCGCTGCTTCCCTGCATATACCTGAACCATCTGAGGGACGTAGAGCGAATCGACGCGAGCGAATGGATTGGTTGCGATGAGCACAATACCACTGTATGTATAAATTTCCTTTTGCGCGTATCGGAGCTTGATGGCTTGCAGTACTATATAGTAAAACCCGTCAGAGAGAAATATATTGCCAAGCACGGAGATATCGCAGCTCTAAACATACCAGCTGGTTCGTTCAAATGGGACAGATTTGTGAGGTCCTCGCTAGCTTCCAGCATCGATGGATTCATCAGCGGCGGAAGGGATCCATTGTTGTCCAGCTGTAGTTCAGCTTCCGTCGTTTCGATTGTCTTGGTCTGTTATTTTTGAAGGGCAAGGAAAAATGGGCTGTTTGTCAGTGATATTTCTATATGCAACACGCTGTACAAATCATCATAAAGACGAGCGTATATAACTGTAAACAGAGCTTCAACGGAAATGGGAATGATGCTAACCTCTCCATTCTCCAGGGAAAAGACCAGAGTAACTTTATCTCCATCCACCAATTTCTCAACGAGCTCAGAGCCCACCCATCCTTCCGTCGGGTCAGGTTGCCATGCCCGGGTACCGACGTCGAATATGTGCACCATGTTTGCAAACTACAACTCCAACACCACAGCGCGGACCGGTCGTCAAGATAGGCTTTTAAGTTATATCGAATACTGAGACAACTGGGGGAGTGGGGGAGAGGGCGGGTTTGTCCAGGGATTCGAGATTCGAGATGCCCGTAGTGACTTGACGATAATGGAAACGAGTATTATAGTTAAGAGGTTCCTGCATTTAAAAACCGGAGTCCCAAAACGACGATACTAACGAAATAACGGATAAATAACTTAGAGAGTGGAAAAAGGGGATCGCCGTGAGGAAGGGTGCAGGTAAAAAGGACGAGCAAACAACGGTGCACGGCAATGAAGTTGCACACCGTTCTGATTCGTTCTAATTCGGGAGAGAGGGCGGGCCAAGAGGAAAAGAAAGCTGGAGAACACCAAAAAACCGCCAGGGTTTCCAGGCAGACAGAGACAGACAGACGGGAGATTTAGACGATCAAGCAATAACAAGGAAGAAAGAGAGTGCAACGTTAGCAAGCAGCAGGCCAAGTCAGCGAGCTTGTTGTTTAGGCTGGGGTGTTTTAGCGAACCGGACCGGACAGCCCCCCCTGAGCAAGGCGGTGGTGGTCCAAGCAGCGGGTTTAGGGGGGATGGGATGGATGCGATTGGAAGCCAGAGCCCGGCCACGTGATGGTCACCCAGCAGAAAGTGCTACCTACTCACTTTATATCCTTCTTTTAAGGACCTGTGATTCATTCCTTCTTTTTTAAGATTGTTATTGTTTATCTGTTTATTTCTCTTAAAAGAGAATAAAAAAGTCTTCTCTTTTCTTCTAGAATAATAATATATAAAAAAAGTCAATATATACCCTTTTAATTAATTCAAAAAGGTTAAAAATCTTCAGTACTACTAGGAACCTACGGAGCTACGGAGCTTATGTAAGGGGATCCTACCATCTTGTCTTCTCCAGCCTGGCAGATGTCTCCAGGGCTTGGGCTGGGGGTGTGGCGATCGTTGTTTCAAGAATATCGGATGGTGTTTTAGATTTTTATTCCAAGTTTGTTCTGTTCTTTTTCTTGTTTTATCATATACATGTATGTACTCTGTACACGCTTCTTTATATTTGCACCTCTATCATTCATCATGTTAGAAGATGTGCGTGTACATCCTCTAAAAAAAAATCGTGGCGAAAATTCCTCATCAGAATGTCATGTCCGTGGTACTACAATTTTCTTTGCTTATTTTGTTGTTTAAAAAACAATGCGCCAGAGTAAAGCAAAGAGCAGAGGTGGGGTGGGGGGGCGACAGGGTAAAACAATTAAAACAATGACTTTTGTTGGATTCGATTTATAACACACTTCTCCTTCTAGAATATAGAAAACGATGGTCCAACGGGTATTGCAACAGGCCCAGCATTGGTGGCTAAAAACTATTTTACCCGTTTCTTAGGCTGCCGCGTCCGGAAATACAAAGATACAGTGCAGATAACGTGCGTGTCTGGGTATGGAGTATCTCTTGCTGTCATGAATGCACGAAATCCCAACCACAAGGACCAAGGTAAAATGACGGTGCAGATAGCTTTTGTTTTGGTTGTGTGAGGGTGTATATCCCTTTGAAGATAGAGAGCAGAGAACATAGCAAGGGGGAACGGAGTTTTGGATGAGAAGGGAAGGGAGGGAAGAAATGGAGGAAGGACGCAAGGTCCATATTATGTGTATTATTAGGCTCAATCTTAACGCATAAGTAATAGGAAGATAAAAAGAACTCAAACTGGGAAATTTTCACATGAGTATGTCAAATTAGGTAGCATAGGCGAAAAAGCGAATAAAAGAAGAGGCAATGGAAATAGGTAGGCAATGCGAATGGTTTAAAATGGATTTAAAAAAAATAGGGGAAAGGGGAAAACGGGACTCCCAGGAACAACAACTAGACTACTTTTGTAAATATAATAAAGGCCCTTGTCTAACTCTGCTTGCATTCGGCAGCCTCCTTTTTAGGCTTCGTTCCGTCGTCCTAGTAAGTCTGAGTTAGCCACATATATTCTTGAACTTGCAAAGAATTTTCGAGCTCTCTTACCTCCTCATCGCTTTCATCGTCCAAATCCCCGTCCGATCTTCGATCATCATCGTCGTCATCGTCGTCATCATCCTCATCGTCGTCATCGAAGTCATCCATGTCCATCTCCTCGTCGTACTCCTCAAATTGAAGGGCTTCTCCGGTGAACCAATCGACAGCCCGGGGAATGAGTTTCTCTTTGATGTCTTCACCAAGGGTATAGTCCAACTCCAGTCGCTCTTCAATGTCGGATTCCGCGTCGTCCTCGCCGTTGGCAGGTGGTTTTGGTGGGGAGAAGAAATTGAAAAACGAATCCGTGGGTACCTTAACCTTCACCACGCGGGTCTGCTTGGTGCCTAGATATGATAAATAACGATGGTTAGGATATTGATATTTGCCGTTGTACTTGGATACAATAAAACTCCTTACTCTTATTTCGTTGCTTTTTGCTCTCATATCGGACGGTGAGATCTTTGCCTTCTTTCCATTCAATCTCGTCGCCCTCGGCATGATCGTAGATGAAATCGCCACCGTAACCACTTTCTTCCTGGTAGTAATAGGTCTTCGAGATAGTTTTGTTGGTAAAGAACTGGTTTTCGGAAAACTCGAAAATTAGACGGAAACCAGGACGTTCGAGATATTCCATGCGAATGTCGGTCAGTTGCTTTAATGCCTCCTCATCTCTCTCGGTGATCATTTCAGAAAGAGAGATATGGTTCTTCATGGCAGAGAGCCAGAACTCAGGGATACCAGCAGCGACTGGTACATCAGCATCCTCCGATTTGGGTTCATCTTTTGCCTTGGGTTCCTCCTCCTCTCCGTCCTCTTCGTCCTCTTCTCCAGCCTTCACTTCATCTTCAGTAGGTTCGGATTGTCCGTTGACGATGGTCGCACGTTTACCGTAGAGAGGCTCGAACTTAGCAAAGTATTCCTTTTCTAGCTCAAGAACTTTCTGTTGGAACTCTGCCTCGAGTTTCGAATGCTCCTTCTGGATTCCTTTCAGGCCAGCTACGCGGCGGCGGACGGGAGCAGGGAGAGACTCGATATAACCAGATGATCGGCCAACCAAAGAACCAAGTCTCCCTTGGATCATAGACACTAGTCTCGGGTTTTGCGCAAAGAGCGACGCAGCTGCTGCACGGTCGAGATCCTCTGCAAATTCCGACACTTCCTGGTTAGTTGACATAAAAAACACTGATGCTGAATAATCACACTCTAGGGCGAATGATATATATATATATATATATATATATATATTAGAAAGAAAAGTGACACACCTTCTTTAATACTGGCGACACCAGGTTGTTGGGCGTGGGACGAGATGGGAGCATTGTTGGCTGGCGTGTTCTGGGGGGTGCTGTTCGTGATTGTCGAAGATTAGCGGTCAGAAAGGGTTTGGGGATGGAATGACAAAAGTGACAAGGTGGGGGAGGCTACACGACTTACGGAGCTGTGGGAAATTCCACCTTCTTGTTTCTGATGGGTTCCGACATTCTTGTGGGCAGACTGGAGGGCGCGTAAAAGAAGGTATTGGAGGTATGCGGGGAGGGGAGAAGTGATAGGAGGAGAGTCAAGGAGGAAGAGTTGGGAATTGATATGCTTTTGGGGAATTTTTTTCTCAGCGGCGAACCGTATCGATGGGGCGTATTTTTGGTGGGAAGGGTTAGCGCCGTTTTGGTTGAGGGGCCTTGGCAGTGGACAATTACTATGTATATATCCAGCGTAATCAACACATAACTACGGAGTTAACTAATAACTAGTAAAATTAAAATTAAAAAATAAGAACTCCGTAGTTCTTGTAGATTAATTTAGCTTGTTGAGGGCATCTAACTGCATATAATCAGTAGAAGTACAGGACGTCTATTTGGTGTAATTACTTCTCTTATACCAGCCTCAACGTGTAAATACATGCACGTTCCAGAGTAAGGAACAATGAATGGCTTCCTCACATTCAACTTCTCTGCCCAAACAAAGAACTAAGGAGGTTACCTAGGTATAAAGTACTCAGGTAGACATTCTTCACACTCTCCTCTATTTTAATCAATGATCCCTTGCCTAGTAGCAATTAGAAACGAATGCAAACGCGGCCGTTTGACTCCCGAGGTCTGGTGCATTGGTCACATGATGATAAGCGATAAGGTTGTTATCCCCAAAGACTTCAAGCTCCGGTCTCTCTTTTGCGGAGGTTCGGGCTTCGACCATACCATATCGATTACCAGAAGCTCTATTCGATTTCCGTTCGTGTTTTTTGTGGATCTCTAGATAACCAAAAAATCCGTCTTGGAAGATGCTCTTCTGGAAAATAGGATTTTCTTAGAGCGAGTGATGAGCGCCTGAGGACCATGGCGGGACGGGAGCCCTCTGCGGACCGGGCCAGGGTTAGTAGTGGCCCGGAGCCCGCTTTCGATTATCGAAGATCATCAATAAGAAGCAGGTACTTATAACCAGACGCGTTTTAAGATACACCGGCGCTTTACTGATCATCTATGTAGTGCTAGTATCATATCCGATGTTGAAATGGCGCAAGATGAGGTCTGTATACTTGCTCTATGACGCCGTGCCATGCGAGCAGCGGAGGGAATGAATTTTGACGTTTAGATAGATCTATGCCGGGCCCATGTCAGAAAGCATCCCCTCCAGTGTTGCCTCGTTTGTCCCTCGCCGATCGCGACGTGAATCGCAACTGAGCTTCACTTACTTCCCAGACACCCCCGAGGTGCCGGAGTGGACAGTTGAAGACGCCGTTGAAGATGAAGATGAAGGCACAAACGGGTATGCGGAAGGATATGAGGTTGACATTGAAGAGACACCGCCGAGCTCTAGCCGCATTTCAATGGACTCCCATACTGCGAGAGATTCCTTCGATGCCCCGTTGTTGCATCGAGTCGACTCCACGAAAGACTCTACCGGACGTCAGTTGCTGGGCGAAACGACCAGCCAGAAAATATACGTTGCAACGGAAGACTTGACGGCAGTCATTGCAGGTTTCAACACCAGTATTGCTGGTTATCTCCTATACCTGGCAATCTGTCTCCTGTCATGTGGACTAGGATACCTTCTGTTACGATGGCTTCCCCGATGGCGTGTGAGACTGATCGGCACCCCAACACCATTATGCCGATGCCAATGGGTTGTTGTCGAGGTAAGGAATTGATATTCAAATTTCCTGAATGGCTCCCATGGCTGAAAAAGATATAGGACCAATGGGCGCAGTTCACGATTCATGAAGTCGTCAGTCAACCTTATGATCTCCCGTTATCCACTGTCTTCGGCGCTCCGATTAAGGAGGTTGACACTCCTATGTTTGACGAGGAGCATGATCCTGTTCTTCCAAACCTACGGTTCCTGGATTATCGCTATATTCGCTTTTACTATCATCCTGCCGAGGACCTCTTCCTACAGTGTACGGGCTGGAAAGATCCTTCCTGGACGAACATTAAAGCTTTGCGAATTGGATTAACAGCGGAAGAGAGGGATTTTCGGGAACAAGTATTTGGCTCGAACATAATAGATATCAAGGAAAAAAGTATTCCACAAATCATGGTTGACGAGGTGAGCTCTCCTTCGTTTTCTTCC